AGTTGTCCAGGGATCGAAATAAGTGGTAATCCGATGGCGCGAGATCAGGACTATATGGTGGGTGTAACATCAATTCCCAACCAATATCCATCAATTTTTGCCGAGTGGACAAAGACGTGCGCAACCTAGCATTGTCCTGGTGGAAAATGATACCTTTACGATTGACCAATTCTGGTCGGTTTTCCTTGACCGCTGCGTTAAATTTGTCCAGTTGCTAACATTCACGGATAACAAAAAATAACATAATAATAATAATAATAATAATTTTATAATATAACATTTACGGATATCATAAAAATGGGAGTGAGAAACATCTATAACTGAAATCGGCAATTACTTAGTTGCCAACCCAATATATAATTATCTATAATATATATCTATAATATATTATAGATTATAATACATTATAATAGATTACAATAGATATAGAGTCATACAGTAAATATGCGCCTGCAGCAGTGAGAAGGTTAAGATTTGCAAGTAAGACATCTGTAGTCACGCGAATCGGCTCATAATTTCGTCGAATGGCGGGCATAACGCGGGGATGAACACTGTAATTCCTGTTTGAAAAGCAACGCGGAGCGGAATTTCGGAGTAGCCAAAATCGCGGGACTACGTCGATCTTTTTCCTAATTCCTCTCAGAAACCAAGAGAAATCCTCTCTCCTGGTCCAACGTTTGCCGGTCTATGGCCCCGTAACTTCCTAGTTTTCCCACCTCTCCGGCTCGTTCCATGTTTGAGAGCTTCTCCGTCGGCGAACCGTAGAACGGAAATCGTAAGCCGCTTACCGACTTAACGGACCCGACGAAAATTCTACCCGGACGCCGCGGCTGCTGCTCTCCGAGCCCACCTCGGCCACGTCCCAATGCGTCCCCGGTTGCTCTAAACCGAAAAACAACGGGCCTGTCGCGGCCAGATAGGCGACGCGAATTTTTGTCGCGGTCGAAGACGCAATCGAGGAAATTATGGGAGGGCGAAGCCGGCGAAATTCTCGGCAGATTCTATGCAGGTAATAACGAGGATACTCGGGACGCGTCTCTCAAGAGGAATCTGGTCTTCGCTAATTTCTAAGTTCGCTATTAACTTCGCAGAATTATTGGGGAACGGTGATGCAGGGGAGAGCGTGAATTTATGTATTTATTAAATAAATATATTATTGCAATTTAACGGATATAATTATCGTCGTTCCGATAAATCAATTTAGTATACAATTGTTTTGTATTTATTTATTTAATGTGGCATCTGATTGATAGCAATTGATTAATTAGCATTTGCAGGTTACACGTAGTATAATATACAATAGTTTTGCATTACATTTTTACATTATTTTCTTAATCTAGGCTCTTTAAATTACTGTATAATTTCGCTGAACAATTTGGTTTCTTCTAAGTATGACATAACGTTTGCTGTTTATTTGTAATTGTCCAAACATTCTTCGATGGTATGAATCATTTTTATTTTTTTCCTGATATTGTTGTACACTAGGCATTCTATTAGGATATGCTTAACCGTAAGCTCGGTGTTACAGTTGTTTACTCGGTGTTACAAATTGGTTTGTCTATACAACTTTATATCACGGAAATTTGAATTTCATTTTTATTCTCTATTTTTACTCTCCGTCGTCCACATTCGTGCAACGAGAAACAATGTTTCACGAGCGACGTTCGCGAATCGCGTTCGAATTCATCGAAATATAATTCCATGAAAATCTATGAACGATTGCGCAGTTGCGTGCTGAACAGAATTGTGCACCGGTATTATTTTTGTACAACGGGACGTAATATTTTGCGGATCATTTTGACAATGGTCCAGAACTAATCGGACAAAATCCCATTAGAATTTGCAAGCGGCGATAGCGTGTCTTTGTCGAATTGGATAAACGTTTTCATGATATCTGGACGATGTAATCCATTTACACGAGCGCGGCGTTCCGATTCTTGTCCGATGTACATAATTAATTCCATTCCGCGGCTGCATTCTATTAAACGCAACACGCCCGGAATTATTATTCTAATTAATCTACGGCCCTCGATGCACACGTTATATCACCCGTACGACTGTTGCTCTATTAAGCGGAACCGCCTCCAGCACCTTGACCGGGTCGAATTTAAATTTTAAATGGCGCCGCCGGGTCCCGTCGACCTCCGCAAGACGGAGGCTTTCCCGTCGATACCGGGAGCCGTGTCGGCCCGTAAATTTTTCGGCGATGGCCAATTCCAAAGCAAATCGACCCTTTTCCGAGCCATAAAATCATTCTCCCTTTTATTAGTTTGAAATATTGCGGCCCGGATAGCGTATGAAATCATCGTTCGGCAAGCCTCGAATTTCTTTCGGAAATACGGAGACAATTTAACTCGTCGGCGTTTCACGAGAAAATACCGTTTGTTAATAAACTAATTGATTCTATCGGTGTTCTGTACGGTTTATATTAATAAACCAATTGATTCTAAGCTTAACCCTTTGCACTCGAGTGGTGACTCTGAGGCACCACTAAAATTGTTAATTCACGTTTCAAGATAATTTTCATATTAACGAAGTTTAAATTTCAGAAATCGTTAAAAGCGTAACTGTTATCGCAAGTCATCGCAAGACTCAATTTCACGTGCATAAAATGCACTTTGTTACATGAAATGGAAATACCATAAGTCAGAAAAATTATTTTACATTTACGGTTCAAATGGCTTCGAGTGCAAAGGGTTAATATTCGCAATCGATGTTTCTATTTAATTTTCGAATTTTGATAACCGATTTCCGTAACGAAATAAATAAACTGCTGTTGCCGTTTCTTTCAGCGTGGGAGCTGCAGTTCGGAGGTCCACCTGGAGGTCAGATTTGAATGGTCCAAGTATTCTGACGTGAGTATCACCTCATCATTTATGCGAACGTATTCCGAAAAATATCCAGAAAATCCAAGAGAAACATTCTTCAACGAGCCCATCGGTCTTGTCGAACTGAAAACATGAACCGAACTTCGTTAATTATCGCTCTAAAAATCTTTCTTTCGCCGCGTCTACATCACCGAACTGGATTTCCCTCGTTAAAACCAAATAATAATTAAATTGTCTCCGCCGTTTCAGCGACGTTCCGTACAACGACGTGCCCCGAAGTGTCCCGTTTAACAGTTCAGCGTTTTCGGACACCGTTTTAATGATTTTGTATGGACGCGTCGCGTCGCGTTGGAGCAACGAAGGTACGAGCGTAATCGACGCGGCCCACTCGTCCTCGGGAAATTGGAATGTTCGAAATTATGTCCGCGTCGATTTTCGAAGATTTGGTGGGGCCGCGACGTCGGCTAACGAATGTATGTAATGGCCGGGCCGGAAATTAGTTGCGTGTTTAAGGTTAATTCGTTACCGATGCCGAGCGACGCTCATGACGCCGACGAACGCTTTTAACTTATTACCAGTCGCCGATTCATCAATTAAACCCCGGACCCCATTAAATTACGACGAAGTCGTGGGTGGAACGCGAGCTCGACACTCAGCTGCCCCACAAAACGATGACGCTGACTTTATCGCTACGATTTTTATTCTGTTAAATGGATCTCGTCATTAATACACTTCAGCCATAATCGTTATGCTATGCAGCCGATAGAAGTACTACAAATACAGTAATTTCTCCCTAATTCGCGCTCAGATTGCGCATAAAAATTGACAATTTGGGAACAGGGGATACGATTATTCAGGCCTATTTTTATAGTTGTTGACAATCGGTAACCATAAAAACGAGCCTAATCGTATCTCCTCTTCTCAAATTGTCCATTGTTGTGCGCGATCTGAGCGCGAATTAGGGAGAAATTACTGTATTCGTAGTACTTCTATCGGCTACGTAGCATAACGATTATGGCTGAAGTGTATTAATGATACTAATTAATGTACTACATCCTCGGTAACATGATGTAACAATTCTTTTCGCGATTGTTATCGAATTTGATGCGCCGAGAACTATCTGTCTGAAATATTGTAAAAATATGCAACTTTGCAATGTAATGCAAAACGATCTCAAGAGAGATTGAAATTGCTGTAAATAAAATAGAAAATTATGCAGTCATTGAGGAGTTTATTAACAGATTTTCCTCGTAACGACAACTACAGATAAAATTGATTTGCAAATTATAATTGTTAGAAGCAAACTTAAAAATTACCAACGACCTTTTCTAGCTACGTTTGACATTTTACTGGTTATTTTCAATGCTGTATGGAGAACATTTGAAATGAAAGCTGAATTGAAAGTACAAACGTCAACGCTTGCTGCATCTGACACTAAACGTTCTACGGATGCTCAGTGGTAGAAGATCGCCAATGGTCAGACAGACGTGAAAACTAAACGGAATACATCCCTGTATCGGTCAAATATTTTCTAAAAATTCTAAAATAACAACGCTACAAACTCGATTAACCAATATTTATTCTGCTCGTCTACAGTTCAAACTAGCAGCCATTGTCTTACGCTTTTCTCCCGACTGCACCCGCCAGTGTGGAGCAAACAGAAATAGAAGAATCGCATAGCATTTGTTATTTACTTTGAACGTTTACCGAACGCACGTATCTTCGTTTGCTTTAAAGGCCACACACGGCTATCGGAAAAATAGTATTTTACCTGAAGCTAAAAGAAGTCGCCCTGTTTACAGACTTTTTTACGATTCTTGGTACTATTAATCGCGTAGCATAGTGGGTTGTCCGTGCGATCGATACTCGATTTCAACGAACCCTGAGATAAACGAGTGGATTAGAATCATAGTAGCGTGTGTAAGTCACGTTATCCTCGTTGCGAGAAACAAGCAGTGTCATTGTTTACTGTAACATGTACCGCCTAGGCGAATTTAAATAAATACGAACAAAATTATGAAATTTGTGTCGATCCGATTAAAAATATATTCAACCTACAAAATTACTGTTTTTTAATTAATTTGAAATGAAACATTATTTTGTTCATTATACCTTCATATAATCGATCGAAATAACTCTTAATAAAAATGAACTCTTAATTAAATGAATTGAATTGAATGAACTCTTAATAAAACTGTATCGAATTCTAATGGATTCTAAATTTAATCTATACAAATTTATTGTTTATTCTTTACGCATTATGTATTGTATTTTTATTATGATCTTTCGTTATAGCCTCAAATAAAAAAGTTAGAAAACGAGAGTTTCTCATTTTTGTTCGTTACTCCAAATAACAGAAAAATCAAGAAAAATCATTTCAGCCGTTGTAGTCTCAGCCTCGGTCGTCAGTGTCAGTCGTAGTCGCCCTGCGATCGAGAAGTAAATTCGAGTGATTTTAAGACCAGTTGTAAAAAAAAGATATCGCGTTTGAAAAGGTGTACGAACAGGTTTCGCGGACCGGTGTAAGCGAAAATGTTCGAAAACGTCACTTGCGCCGCTGCGATTCTAACCCACTGAAATATCGAACAACCCGAATCAAGGAAAGTTTATTAGCTTCGGGTGGGTCGAGGTGGGGTGTTAATAACGACGGCACGCCGGAAGTTCGTTATCGAAAACACGGGTAGCGGTCTGCCATTGACCGGATGGCATTAAAATCGATGCCGATACACGAGCACGGCCTTCGATAACGACGAACGGATGCCGTCCACGATCCTCGGCGTGCTCCGTTCGACGTCGAGTCGCAACAGAGTAATGACACGACAGTTTCTGATGCGTTTGTGCTCGACCTAGCGTGTATTTGCCCATTGGACATCCATACAGGGCGCGGATACACGGCCGCCGGGCCCCTTTCACACGGACAACGTTTACGAGCGTGTGTGCACGGCGACGCCCACATGGCCGGCCGTGCAACCACGCGCACGGTTCTGCCGGACGTTTCTAAAGTCAGCCACGATTGTCAGTCACGGCGAGTGGAACCGTGTAATTTACCGTTTCGGCCGAGGATAAGTGATTCCGTCGACGAGAATTTATGGCCCGGCCGGGGATTTTACGCATTCATGGCGCACGCGACCCTGGCCGGAATAAGAATGCTACGAAATCTACGAAATGTATCCCGGTTTATTAAGCCGACGCGTTTTCCGAACGAATTAATAGCCATTCCGTTAAATTGGCCAGGTTCTTTCGGGCTTTTATTTATTCATACGTTTTTTGAGTCCCGCCGATGGCTGCGGTCACGAACGATTTTACATTTTTTCCCCGCGCGCAGCACGCCGAGTTGCTGATTAAACCCTCTAACCGCGACCGAGTTTTCGATTTTTTCGGCACGAAATTGCGGTCCGGTTCTATTTACTATGCAGACGCGTTCAAATTAAAAATGAAAAATCTTTTCAATTCGGTTATTGTTCGCTACATTTAGAACGCGAATTCCGCGTCGAAGGTACGATCCAAATGTATTGCATAAAAAGAGGTGACGAAACAATTCGGTTAAAAATTCATAGCAACAATCATTCGTAATCTTCTTGAACTGTATATTCGAAACGGTATTAAATATCTCTGTTTTTTTTTCTGAAACGTGACACTGTATACAAAAAGAACCGTTCCAATATTTTGATTTTTGCTATCAAAAAATATTTTCTGTCTACGTGCATGTTTGCCGGCTGTGTCGCCAATAAAAACGAATAAAAAACGAATTTTATGCATTTACGAGAAAATCGGATGGATGCAACGGCGAAAATGTTCGAAGAATTTAAGATTGTTACATCGCTTCGGCTTCATTAAATTTAATTTAAAGAGCTATTACAACCCCCGCGTGATCCGTTCTTTCGGAAACCCAGCGGCCATATCATATTACGAGCTTGTATTTCGCCGCACGAGGGTGCAGGTGTGTTTTACGTCGCATTTTGTGCTGCTTTCACGCGCCCAGAGCGCTGCGAAGCGTCGCGTCGCCGCGGAGACCGGGCCGGCTTCATGGAGCGACGGGATATTAATTTCGAATTTGTCTTCGAATTTTTGCATAATTATTCCGGCGACGTCGAGAGTGCAGCGGGCCACACGGGACCGATAACGACGAGGCGCGCGTCGTGTCGAGCGGGACCGAGGTCGAAAGCCCGGTTAAAGGACAACGAGACAAGGGTCCAGCTTGCTCGACATTGTTAGGACAACCTTTGATCTACGCGAGCCATCCACCTGTCGCTGCGTGCGCCTCTCGGCACGCGTAATTAGCGGGGAAACAGCCGCCTCGCGATTCCGACCAAGAAAAATTCGCCAGCGAACCGGATCCCTTTGTCGCCGCGCGGAAATTACCGGTCGATGCCCGTCACGCTGCTCGCGATCATGCTCGATCGATCGGGCAGCCGTCGCCGGCGTTGTCGTAATTTTCGACAAGCCGAGCAGATGAACGGAGCACCAGGCGAAAAGTGATCAATCAACGAATGCAACGCTCATTGGTTTTATTTTATCTTATTCATTTATTCGTGTGTAAGGGTAGAAGACACCCTTTGTTACGGAAGAAGAAATATAAAGGAAGAGATTTTACATAAATGTCGCACGAGTGCAACAAAATAGATCGAATATATGTACTCTAAATAGACTGCAGATCTTTATGCGAGTTTCTTATTTTCTCGTGGTGAATTTTCAATTTTCAGTGTGCCCAATTTCTACAGTGCTGAATTTTCAGTCTCCAATTTTCGCAGCATCTAATTTTCACAGCCCCAATTTTCATAGCCTACATTTTTTACCGGCCTAAAATTGTATAGACCCCCGCTATCTCTCAGCTCCAATTTTCACAGTCCTCAATTTTCACAGCTCGAATTTTCTCAGCCCTCCATTCTCATATTTAGTCCCGAATTTTCACAGTCTTGGAATTGCGTAGACCCCCATTTTCATAACTATAAATTCTCATAGTCCCTAATTTTCGCAGCCCCCCATTTTGGTATTTAATCCCAATTTTCACAGTCCTGGAATTTTAC